CTTATTAAATATTATTTTAATATTAAATTTAATTTTTTTTTTCAAATTAAACCAAAAAAATACAATTATTATAGGTGTGTTAGTGTGTGTTTCTTAATTGAATTTTAATTTTAAATAATAAAAATGTGAATTAAAATAATTATTTAATATAATATAAATATATTTTAATATAATATTTTAAATATAAAATATAAATAAATATTTAGTGGGAGTATTTTTTTTAAATTCTTTTTATGAATTATAAAAAAATTGAAGTCTAAAAACTACAATAACTATATGGCACCTAATTAAAACATGTGAGCCAAGGGAAAAATATTTTGAAAAATTTTTCTATTTGAATTCTACGACTGTTTTCTTTACTATTTGTTTTTTTCACATTTTTAAAAAAAATTAATATAATATACATATTTATTATTTTTATATTTTTTATTTAATTTTTTATATTTCATATCAAATTTACTTTTTAACAATCTTACAGAATAAATTCACTTACGCTTCTTGAAAATATATATATATTTATTTAAAATATTCCACAAAATATTATTATAATATCAAATTTAAAACCATCTTTTTCAAATCAAATTCGAATATATATATATATATATATATTAAAAATAAATTTGCTGGCTTATCCACTTTCTAGGATTTAACAGACATGTGTCTATAGTGGGAGGACAACTTTATAATTGTCTCGATAATTGTCTGCTTTGTTTTGTAAAAAAAAAAAAAAATTTGGTCTCCCTCCCATGAAATCAGTATTATTTATATTTTGTATTATTATATTTAACATTAAAAATATTTTCATATTTATATAATTTACTTCAAAAAATATTAGTATCAATTTGCTTTTTGCACATAATTTTAGAAATATTAGTATTATATAGAAATAAAGTAAAAATGATCAAAATAACCTTATTAGTATGTGTGATATAAATGCAATGACATTTGTGTAATATATTGTAAGTTGTAAGGGTATTTGTAATATTAGGTAGATAGTACAGTTACTAAAAAAAGAAAATTGATACTTTGTTATGGGACGGACTAAAATGGAAAAATGGATATTTTGTTATGGGACGGAGGGAGTATTATATTTGTATTATAAGAGACTACAATAAGTATTTTTGTCATTTTCCTTTGATTTGTATTATATATTAATATAATAATTAATATCTAAAGATCAACAAACAGAAAGTCATAGTATTCTTCGGGACGGAGAGAATATTTATATTTCTCCCCAAAAATGAATACCGTACTCCCTCCGTCCCAATACAATAGTCTTGTTTACCATTTTTTTCCGTCTCAAAACAATAATCTCATTTCCATAAATAACCATATCACCATAAAACTATATCTACTTTTTCATTATTATTACACAATTGTCACTATTTTTTACATTAATAAACTCACAAGGACAAAAAAGTTATTTATCCTTACTTTTTACCAACTATTAATATAATATCAATATTTTTTAAATCTCGTGTCCAACTCAATAAGACTATACTTTTGGGACGGAGGGTATATTATATACTTTCATAATACTCCTTTCGTACACTGTCAAAATTTATATTTGTTTTTTATTTGTTGATTTTTGAATATTAATTATTATTTCAAAATATAGTACAAATTAAGAGAAAATAAAAAAAATATTTATATTAGTGTCTTAGAATACAAATATAATTACATGTGTATAAAAAATATACAAATATAAATATATTTTTAATGTTAAATACAATAATACAAAAAATAAATATAAACTTATTAAGTGGACAAAGAGAGTATTATATTATCTATATAATTTTTTCATATCTCATATAAAAAATATCATTTCAAATAATTAGACAAAATAAACAAACTTATAGTACTTCTTTTGTTCAAAAAATCTGAATGAATTTGATTGGAGATAAATATTAAAAATAGTAATATTTTAATACTAAAATATAAAAAAGAAAATAAGAGTATTATAAAGTTATTTTAAAAGTTAGATTAAATAAAAATAATAATAAGATAAATATTAAAAGTAGTCATAAAATTATTATTAATTGTTATAAAGCAAAGATAATTAAAATAAATGGATAAAATGTTATACTCCCTCAATCCCAAAACTATAGCTTGGGTTAAATTTGATACGAGATTTAAGAAATATAATATTATATTATTAGTGGGTAAAAAGTATGGGTAAAAAATTTTTTGCCTTTGTGAGTGAATTAGTGTAAAAAGTAGTGACAATTGTGTAATAATAATGAAAAAGTAAAGATAATTTTATATTGATATGGTTATTTATGAAAATGATACTATTGTTTTGGGACGGACAAAAATGGTAAACAAGACTATTGTATTGGGACAGAAAGAATATTATAAATAGATTATGGGTGTGTTTGTTTGAAGAATTTGGGTGAATTTCTACTATTCACACAAATTTTTTCCCCAAAAAATATCAAATCAAACTCCTATTTTTTATATTATACTGAAAATCAATTTTACAATCAAAATATCACATCATACAACTATTCAAATTCAAATTTTTTACTATTCAAATCTCAATCCAAAATCCAAACTCCCAAGCAAACACACCCTATATATATATTTAGCAGATAAAAAAGAAAAAAAAGAAAAGATGTCATAATAGATAGTAGTTGGTTAGCATTTTGTGTGTAAAAACTTTTTTGTTTTTTAATTTTCATTTGATATAATGATATTAATATAGATAAGTATAAATATTTAAGATATTTATAATATAATAGAAGTTGTTTGGAAAATAATATAATTAAAAATTACAAAAAAAAAATACACAAAAAGCAAAATATTCAATTGTCTTTTTTATTTAGAGGTTGTTTTAAAAAAAAAAAAATTAAATTTTTTAACTTTTTAATTTGTCAAAAAGTTAATTTTTTTAAATGTTGGATATTTCATTATTTCAAAATAGTTTTTTCATTGTAATTTTTTATTCCAACCATCAATTTCATAGATATTAATATATTTTTATTACAATATTTATTAATTATTTTAATGTATTTTCTTCTACTAATTCATAATTTTATGTTTATAAATTTAAAGTAATTGAAATTATTATTTTTTATATGTAAATTATTTTATTTATAAAATTTTAAAATCTATTATAATAATAAAGGCAAAATAAAAATAAAAATAAAAATAAAAATATTAATATTATCAATTTATTTTTATATATTTCTATGACATAGTTTTTTTTTATTAAAGATGGATATATTAGAATAAATTGATTTAAAATTATAATTTGATAATAAAATAAATTAATTAGAAATTAATCTAATAAAAATATTAGAGCATGCAAAACTAAATATGACCAAAAATGAGAGAGTTTGATATAAAGAATGAAAATAAATAATGAAAATGTAAAGAAAAAAAAATGTAAAACAAAAAATTTAGTTGAAAATATAAATAAAAAAATTAATGAATTAATCAAGAAAATGACTAATAGGACAAAAAGAGAATTCTAACGAGTGAAAAATCATTAAAAAAAAAATATTTTTGTTAGATTTCTTTGCTTAGATAATAAATTAGGCATAATGTTTTGTAAAATCAAATTTTAATATAATTATTTTAAAAATCATAAAAATTAAATTATTAAATAATAAATTAAATATGATATTTTATAAAATTAAAATAATATAATTTTAAAAATTATAAAAATTAAATAATAAAAAAATAAAAAAATAACAAAAACAAGATATTAGAGATAAATAAAAATAGAGAAATAAAAAATAATTTATTTGTCAAAATTTATATTTTTGCTTTCAATTATATGTACCAAATACATTCATATCCGGTACATATAATTGGGCCTTCAAATTTGTGGACTAACATCTATATCATAATAATCTTCGACTCGGGTGTGTTTGTTTGGAGTATTCTCCTCAAAATACATTATTCATCCCTTTTTTTTAAAAAAAAATCAAATTAAATACTTATTTTTTATTTTTTATATTATACTAAAAATTAATTTTATATTCAAAATATCACATTAACATCTATTTATATCACATTATACAAGTATTCAAATTCAAAATTTTTACTATTTAAATTTCAACTCAAAATACAAACACCCAAACAAAACACATGGATTCTGCTTAACTCCTCGCTAGAAAATAACCCGCCCCTCCTTAAACGGATCAATTTTGGATTTTGTTTTATTTTGTAAAACATAATGTTTTTAAAACGATAGATAATAAAAAATTCAAATATTAAATATAAAATACTCTCTCCGTCCCGTTGGAAGGGTGACTTTTACTTTTTGCACGTAGATTTTTTAATATTAGTATTATATTGGATTATAGTAAAAAAAGACAAAAATATCGCTATTAGTATGGTGTAATATAAAAGTAATGGCATTTGTGTAATATATAGTAAGTTGAAAGGGTATTTATTATGTTAGGTAAGTAGTACAATTACTAAATTATGAAATAGTAACCTTGTTTTGGAACTGATGAAAATAAAAATTAGTAACTTTTCAGTGGAACAGGGAAGTAAAATGATTTCAACTGTGATAATAATGGTGCAGTGACGACCAAGTAGTGAAAATGATGAGTCGAAAAATACAAAACAATTGAAAATTTTAAATTATTGAAAAATTAATGAAAATGATAAATACATAAATAACACTATAAACAACACTATAAACAATAATATAAATATTCTCTGTTCTAGTTAATTTGTCTACTTTAGTTTATGCAGAGTTTTAAATATTGTGTAATTGGTAAGTAATTAAAAAAAGTATTAGTAAAAATAATTATAATTTAATAAAAATAATTATAAATTAAGATTATGATGAGTTTAATTAAAATAAAAAATTTTAAAATTATGAATTTTAAAATATGATTAAAGTGTATAATTATATTTCTAAAACAATAAAATGACAAATTATGTAGAAAGATAGAAATAGGAATAATGGACAAATTAAATGAAACGAAAAAATAATATAATATTACTATTTAAAATGATTAATTTAAAGAGATTCAGTGCGAGTTAAATTCAAAAATTTTTTTGGATCAAATCCGTAATCTGTCCCTGACTCCGAATCCAGCCGAGTTTAAAATTTTCAAAATTCATAACCCGCCTCGATTATAAAAATCCAAACCCAAACTCGCCCCATTAACATCCGAACCGGGTCGGGTTCCCGGGCAAGATCCACCCCTATTTCCATCCATATTCGACGTCTATCGACGCCAATGACGAGCGAGCGAATAAACGCTACCAATAATCGCGACAAGAGCAAGAACCATGACGAAAATGATGGAATCGGCTAGTGTCTCGTAGGACGATTTCTCGATCGACCAACTTCGACACGTACTTAAATGCCGTATGGCAATCGCCGCAAACCCGAAGATTTTTCTTGATTGAGATAGGAGCTCCCGACGGCGAGTCAAGGATCGAGAACGCGAGCGCTAGCTTTTCGCTATGGTATTGTAACCTCTCTTCTCTCTCGCGCTCATCCGAATACCAAAGCACGTTGCTCGTATCCGGGACGTATCCAATTTTTGCGATTCCGTCGCGTAGCTCGTCCCACATCTTCCGAATCTCGTCCCGTCGCGGGTGGGCGTCGTCATTCGCGACAAATAAATGTATAACATTCCCCGATTCGACCCAGCTACACGCGGGCTCTTTCTTAAGCCCGCTCGAATTCATCGTCCGTCGAACTCTCGCCGCGTCGATCAATCTCCCGGCGGACGCGTAGATGTTCGAGAGTAATATACGAGGACCCGTGTCGTTCGAATCGAGCTCAAAAACGCGCTCCGCCGCGTAAATACCTAACTCCATATTCTTATGCATCCGACACGCTCCGAGAAGCGCTTTCCAAACGACGGCGGTAGGTTCGATCGACATCTGTTGTATGAACTTCATGGCGCGATCGAGCTGACCTGCTCGACCGAGTAGGTCGATGATCGTTACGTAATGCGTAATATCGGGTTCGATTTCGTACCTTCTCATCAGCTCAAAGTAGTAAAATCCTTTCTCCGAAAGGCCGCCATGGCTGCAAGCTTTTAAAACACAGAGAAACGTTATCGCGTTCGGCTCGACTCCGACTCGACGCATTTTTTCAAACAAATCGACGGCTTCGTCGCCGAGCCCATGCTCGGCAAAAGCTGTAAGCATCGTGTTCCACGCTATGATATCCTTTTTTTGGACGAAATTGAAAACCTTTCTCGCGTCGTCGATATTTCCCGCTTTGCCGTACATATTGACAAGAGTATTCGTGACGAATGCGGTGAGCTTCAGCCCCGATTTCACCATATCCGCGTGCGCCCATTTCCCCTGCTCCGAAGCGCCGCTGCTCGCGCAGGCGGAGAAGACGCTCGAATACGTGAAATGCGACGGTCGTAACCGCTCCCGTTTCATCTCCGCGAAGAGGCGCACGGCATTGTGCCCCTCGCCGTCCCTCGCGTACGATGCGATCAATGCATTCCAAGAAACCTCATTTCTATCCGTCAGAGCATCGAATATGACCTTTGCCGCCTCCTTCTTCGTGCACCTTGCGTACATATCGACCAGCGCGCTCCCGACGAAGACATTTCGTTCGAATCCGAGTTTTAAACAAAATCCATGGATGATCCTACCGATTGCATCACTCTGTGAGCCTCCGGCGGATTTCAGAGCACTACCAAAAGTAAATTCGTTCGGCTTAAATCCCGAATTCAACATATTCACGAAAACAAGCAGAGCTTCATTGAAGAGATTGCACTGTGAATAGCCAGTGATTACCGTAGTGAAGGAAACCATGTCCCGTTCAGGCATTTCGTCGAACACCTTCCGAGCGAGCTCCATTTCGCCGCATCTCGCGTACATGTGAATCACGGTGTTCTGTAGAGCGATGTAATCGCGGAATCTAGAGTTTTTGAAATGAGAATGCACCATTTTAGCCTCTCTGATTTTGCTTTGAGCAGTACACTGCTTGAAGAGATCCATGTACAACCTCGCGTCGGATTCCATGGCGCCGCGGTCGATTAGGTCGAGAGCGAGAAGATTTCCGTCCGGAGTAGCTTTCAGAAGGTCTTTATCGTGGATTATACCTGGAATTAGGTCTGGAACCCTAGTTTCTTCCGAGTCTGAGGATTGAATTTGGGGGAGTGCGATCAAGTTGCGTCGGGATACCGAATGGAGGAATCTGAAGCTCCAGAAAAGCCGTATCGTCGATTGAGCAAGGATCGAGCGCCATATGTGTCGCTTCATGGAGAAATTGAGTGATTGATGGATCAATTGGAGGGAAATTTTTGAAGAATCACGCAGCCTACGTTGTTCTTCGACGCAGGAAGATCAGCAATGCAAAGCATATGTTCGTTACCTACAAAAACAGCCTTTATATTCCTTAATAAGAATATAAATATTTAAATATAAGAATATAAATATGATTTATTTTTTAAAAAATAATAAAAATTAGTAACATTAACATTCTTTTATAAATTTTTGTTATAATTTGTAATAAATAACGATAAAAATTTCACCGAATTTGAAATATTAAGAATTGCTTTAGATAAATTTTGTATTTTAAAAATAATTATTGTATTTTTATAAGTAAGTATTGTTACATTTTGTAAATTTTAGAATTATTATACTCCCTCGTCTACAGTCAATTTATCTATTTTTCAATTTTAGTATGTCCATCGCAAAGGTATCCATTTTCTTTTCTTTTTTTTTTTTTTTTAGTAAATGTACCTTCCACTAAAATATAAAATTATCTCACCCTTTATATAATATTACACAAATATCATCAAATAACACCACTTAATACCATAAATGTTAAGAGGTATAATAATTTTTTTATGTATACATATCAATATAATATTAATATACTAAAATTTACGTGCAAAAAGTAAACGGATAGATAGGCTGTGGTGGACGGAGAGAGTATTAATAATGAAATCAAATATATATTTGCATGCATAATACGTGATAAATTCAAATAATAATTATTATTATTTTAAATGATACTCCCTCCGTCCCAAAAAATTTGTCTTGTTTTTTTATTTTCGTCCGTCTCAAAACAATTGTCTTGTTTCCTTATTTAGTAGCTGTGGTCCTCACTTTATAACAAAATTATTTTTATTTTTCCATATTATCTCTAATTATTACTCTAACGTACTCTTTAAAATCCTTCAAAGCATTTTAGTCATTTACATTCTACTTTACACCAAGTTTCAATTAAATACTATTATTCTTTAATTAATTCTCGTGTCAACTCTCAATAAGACACTTCTTTTGGGACGGAAGGAGTATAACCTAAAAATTAAATACTAAAATATCACAACAACAATGAAAATATAATCTAAAGCATAAGTAAAATATCTAAAATATTTCACAAAGTATTGTAGAAATCAACTTAAATTTGCCAAAAGAGAATTGACATGATACAACTAAAATAGTCCATTGGATTAAGATAAAAAAAAAAAAAAACAAAACTCTCAATAGAGTTAAAATAAAAAAGTATGAATATCAATATTATTAGAGTCGAAAATAAAATTTTCAATATCGTTAGAATTGAAAATAGAATTCTCAACGTTGTTAAAGTCGAAAGTTCTATACGACTATTACTGTCGTAAGAGTTGGAATAAGGATTCTAAACAAAATCATAATAGGAGATTGAATGTCGATTATAAAACTTTATTAAAATTAAAGACTAATTTTGATCAAAAATTAATTTACCAGTCTATCCAATTATTTTTGTTCAGATTTATATTTAAGTTTCAATAAAGTTTTATATTCAGTATAAAATCAATTACTCCCTCCGTCCTGGAACAAGGGTGGCGTTTGCTTTTTACACGTAGATTTTTTAATATTAGTATTATAATGTATTGTAGTGAAAATAACAAAAATATCCTATTAGTATAGTGTAATATAAAATTAATGACATTTGTGTAATATAATGTAAGTTGGAATGGTATTTATTATGTTAGGTAGGTAAGTACAATTAATAAATTAGGAAATGATAACCTTGTTTTGGGACAAACAAAAATGGAAAATGACAATATTTCAATGGGAGGGTGGGAGTATAATAATTTTATTTAAAACCTTGTTTTCACTCTAACAATGTTGAAAGACTTATTTTTAATTTTTAACTTTATTGAGAGACATATTTTCAACTTTAATAATATTAAGAGTTCTGTCTTTAATTAAAAAAAATAAAAAAAATAAAAAATAAAAAATCCAAACTATCACAAGAATAAATCCATAAATTATTATTTAAAAAAATAATAATAAATAAATAGTTTTCTTTTCTCTCTCAGTGAATCCAAATGAAACTCTGAGCCCATTAGGGATGGAAAAAGCCCAATCAATATATGCAGAAGAACAAATAAAAATTATAATAAAAATAAAAATAGGGAAGGGTAAATTAGGAAATAGAAAAGAAAAGAGAAGAGGAAAGGCTAAGAAGAGGCCACGTCGCCACAGACAAGCAAAAGTAGTAAAACCTCGTACCCCTGCCGACACTCAAGTACAACCTCTTCACCCACTCATTCATTTCTTATCCATTTCCTTATTTATTTATTTATATTTTTACTATTTATATTTCTATTTTTTTAATCATATATTTATTTTAATACTCTAATTATTACACACATATATATATATAATTTACTACAATTTTATAAATAAAAATAAATAAATCTCACTTTCGTTTTCTTTTAACTTTCACATTCACAACACTACTATTGTAAATAACATTTAAATATTAATAATGTGACATCTCAACAATAATTTAATTATTTAATTATTTAATATTTAATATATTTATACATATGCATATTGAGAATCAATCATTTACCCACTTGAGGGTTTGTTTTGTTGATGTGAGAGATAGAGAGAAAAGGGCTCTTATTCAACTGTCACCACATAATATTATATATTTATTTATTTATTTATTTATATATATGTGTGTGTGTTGGCAAAGACAAAAAAAAACATGAGATACTTTGAAGATAACATTGAGTAATGTCATGTAATAAGTGGGGCCTACTTAATTTGCCTTTTTAGGGAATTTTTATAATTAAAATTAATGTAATATTTTATTTTATTTTTTTTTTATAAAAAAATACTGTTAAGGTAAAAATAATGTATATAAAATAAAGTTTATTTTTAGTATTTCTTATTTGATTTTATTTGATGTTTAGGTTGCCAATTTTGGAATGAATCAATGAATGAATTATTGGTGTAAATAAAGAAGATTGCATATGTTTTTAAGGATCACTATCATTATACTTTGTCCTCTCCACATGTTGACAACGTCCCATAAATATTGTTTTAATTGGGTTGAACACAGAATTTAAAGAATATTGATAATTGATAAAAAATATGGATAAAAGAGTTTTTTTGCATTTGTGAGTGTATTATTGTAAAAAGTAGTGACAATTGTGTAATAAAAATGAAAAAGTAGAGGTAATTTTATGGTGATATGGTTATTTATGGAAACAAGACTATTGTTTTGAGACAGACAAAAATGATAAACAAGACTATTTTATTGGACGGATGGAGTATCTTAAATGATACTTTTTTTGTCATATTTTTCTTTTTATCATTTAATTGTGTGCTTAAATATTTAGACATAAATTTTAATAAAAAGTAGATAGTAATTATTTCATTTTATCATTTATAGTAAAAATAAAAGTACAAAAAGTTATGTAATTTTTATACAAAACAAGAAAAAAATGAGAACATCAATTTATTTAGACTATATAAAAGATTTAAATTTTACACTAAAAAATTTCGAAATATTACTATTTTATACATATGTAGTGAGACAGAAAAATTAATATACAATTTTTTTTTTTATAAATATTTAATGTAATTAAATTATCACTTGTTCTCTTAGCTTCATCTATCAATTACGATTTTTTAAAAAATAATAATAAATACAAAATATTTTATACAAAAATAAAAAAATTAAAACACGTATTATAAAAAGTCAAAAAGTTATTAAAAAAAATAAAAAATCAAATATTTAACTTAAAATAATATATTTTATATTTTTCACACAATTATCATACTACACATTAAAAATCATTTTATCCAAACACATTGTATTGTTATAATAATAATGTGTAAGAATCTTTTTTAGAAAAATATTTATGAGGAGTACAATTAGAATTTAATTTTAACAAAATAGCAAAATATATAGATTGATTCATGATAGGGGGAGTATTTTAAATATTAATATTATTTTTAACAAAATTATTTTATTATGAATTACTCCATTCGTCCAGTATAATTTGGATGTATTACTGTAAATACTAGAATTTAAGTAAAATATAATTAATAAATAATTAAAAATTATATTAATAAAAATAATTATAAATTAAAATTAAGATAATTAAATATTTTAATTAAAATTAAAAAAATTCTAAAATTTAAATTTTAAAATGTAACTAAATTGTAATAAAAATAAAAATAGAGACACATGGGACGAGGAGTATATAATGAAAAAAAATCAAAAATAAAAATATATTCATAGGGTATCCGAATGAAATGTGGATCGTCCGATTAGAGCACGTTGGATCTTCCCAACTTTGAGGCGTGGTAGTGTCACGCGCGGAGCGGCGCGTGTGGTGACAACGGAAGGAACGAACGAATAAAGTAACAAGCAGGAAAGAGGAACCGCACTCTACCTGCGAAGCGGCCGACAGTACCCTATCCGAATCTGCACTCTGGCCTCCACGTGGCACATTATGATTGGTCCAAGTTGATTGCCGGTGATTTTGACGGTCTTCCCTTTGTGACAATGAATTTTTAATATTCATTCTATTACCTAACTTCATAATTTGACTTTATTTTTTAATTAATAATAATTTAATGTGTGTTTAGTTGATTATTTGGTTTTATGTTATGTTTATTTGAATAATGATTTAGATATAATATTTTGTAAAAAAAAATATTGTATTGTTATAAAAATATTACTTTATCCGTCTCATATTATTTATTTCTATTTTTTATTTTCATTCGTTTATATAATTTGTTTTTTTTTTTAAAAAAAATATGATTATTCACTTTTTTTCATATTTTAAATTTTATAATTTTTAAAATTTTAATTAAATTATTTAGTTATCTTAATTTTAATTTATAATTATTTTTATTAAATAATACTCCCTCCATCCCAAACAAGGTGCTACATTTAAGTTGGACACGGGATTTTAGGTGAGAAGTATTAAGTAGGATAATTGAGTAATAGGTGATGTGATGGAGAAAAAAATGTATATTTTATTTTTTTATTAGAGTGATGTGATGAGATAAAATGTGAAGATATAATTAATTATTTTCTAATTTA